TCTACTCTCTCTCCTCTCTCCTCCTCTCTTCTCTCTCTCTTCTCGTAACTACTACGACTCGTCGTCTCTCTCTCTCTCTCTCTCCTCCTCTCTCTCTCTCTCTCTCTCTTTGACAATCAGCTTGGTCTCTCTCTCTCTCTCTCTGCATGTTGTGTGTGTGTGTGTGAGACAGAGAGAGAGGAGCTTCTATAAGGTACTTATAAATTTGAAAGCATTATCTTGCACAATTACAAATCAGGAAGATTTAGCAGAAAAAGAAAACGATGCTTCAGCCCATAAATATAGCCTGCTTTGTTCAAACTTTGATGAACCTCTTCTCTATGATGGTCTTCTACAATACTCATGATGTGAATTAGTATAGTACATCATGAGTATAGTAGTCAGTAGTCACTAATAAATATCAATTCAGAATCTCAAAACATTTCTCTTTAATGCAAGGTTAACAATACCCAACACAAGGGCCACTCATCTTCATTATAGTCCCCTGTTGTAGGCATGAACTTAATATCAGTAGTGAATAACATTAACTAACAGCAAAGTCTGCTTGTTTTCTCATCTTCACTGATTGACTTATATTTCTAACAATAGGAGAAACACAGCAGGCCCACTCCCTAATTTCCATATTTTTCTCGTTTAAGAAATGCAAAATTGGGATACGACATAGCATATGCCTTGAGGCTTGCAAGAATAGTTTTCAAGCTATTCTAACGCTAACTCGCGAAGAATGCTTCCATTTAGGGCCTATTTGAAAATTATCACCTGCAATTTCACCTTTAAGGGAGTGTTTAAAATTCAAAATTTAGAATTGATTTCCAATTACAATTGGGCTCCCAAATTGATTTTTGCAAAACCATCCGAAGTTGTTTTGCAAAAAATTCAAGTTGGCTCCCTCTCTACACCACCACCGCATCACGACCATCATCACCAATGCCACCCACGCACCACCACCATCAATGCCTTGCAACCACCACTCCACCAGCCAGTCCACTACCACTACCACTACTCGACCAGCCATTCCACTACCACTACCACTACCTAGCCACCACCACCACAGCCTAGGCACCACCACCATCAATGCCTTGCCACCACCACTCCACCAGACATTCCACTACCACTACCACTACCTAGCCACCACTACCACAGCCTAGGCACCACCACCACAGCCCAGGCACCATCACTACCTAACACCACCACCACCACAGCCTAGGCACCACCACCACAGCCCAGGCACCACCACTACCTAACACCACAACCACCGCATTGCCACCACGACTGCACCATCTGCTCTGACCTTAATACTATCACCAAACCAGCTCAATCTCCTCCACCACCACCACCACCTAGTCCCACCGCCACAACCACTGCACCATCACCTCAAGCGTCACCTCTACCACTAGTCTGCTTCCACCACCACTCTGCCCATGCCGCCACCACATCCACACCACCATGGCAGCCACCACCACCATCACTCTGCTTCCAACACCATCACACCACTACCAAAACCACAAGTACCACTCCCTCACTGCTACCACCACCACCCCTCCACCCATTCGACCAAAATTACCTCAACCACTATAACCACTATACCACCATTATCACACTATCACGACCATCACACCACACAATAACAAATTAGAGTTTGACTTGAAATAATCAAAGAACCTCTAAAAGCAAATGATAATTATCCAAATTTTTATTTGGTCAATTACAAATGGACAAAAACACCATTTGATAAAATTTTGAAATCAAACGGCACCTAACATTACATAATGACCTCTTTATCACATTCTCTAAATGACATTATCACATCCTCTAAATGGCAAGTCGCTTCAAGCATGTGTCACTGGAGGCATGGCAGGAATCACAAGTCTAATATCTGATTCCATGCTCATTCAACACATAAAACTATGTTTCAGCCAGCTAAGTAATAAAAGTGAATGATGTTATGACAAGAAAATAATATGCTATCATTAACTAAGACATTCAAGAAGTAAATGAGTAGCGATGCAAAATTAAATTACACAAAACAAGTAAAAAAGGTAATACTGTACATGAAACAACTAGATATGGCATAAATGGTAAGTCATAACATCCTATCTACATAACTAGTCTTAAGTAGATTAAGTGCAACAATTCAGTCAAAGGAGGACATTCAGGCATAAACCATACTGATAATAGATGACCATTGACAAGTTCCCCTTCTTAAGATGCAACACTGATGACAGATGAGATACAAGTATAAAAAAGCATCTCAAGGAACAAAAATCTTACTGAGCATAGTGTTAAAATTGAAAACCACCTTGATATACTCAACAAAGTCAAAGAGTAGGCCTTGGCTCCCATCTTGCATTTCATTCTCTTCAGTACCCTCGACTTCCACAGAAAATTCGCCTTTCCATTTTTTGAACTCCAAGGAAGCAGCCGCCTCTTCCTTTTCCTTTCTAGCTCTCGCCTCTTCCTCCTAAGTTAACAAGTATAACTTTATGTGTATCTAAAATAGTTTTAACTTCTGACTAAACATGTTACTATGCCTTTCCATAAAATGTTCTGAAATAAGCACTATAGGTAACACGATACAACAAAGAAACAGTTACTAACCCTTAAACGCTCCTCAGTTTCACGTTCCTCGTCCTTTCTCCTTCTCATCTCAGCGTAGCGATCGTGTTTTGTTTGCCTTACCTCGCGTGCTGGTTCGTCATCCTTGCAGAAAAAGAACCCAGATTCAGAAAGTTGCGTCAAGGCACATTAGGGGATCCATGAACACGTAAACATTAAATGGAAGCAACAATTTGATTACAAGAACTCTAAATGATAATATTATAGATTTATAACTGGATTAAAATGGAAGTTTCCAATGATGTAATTACAAAAAATTCAACCCAAGGCAAAAAGTACACTGAAAGGATCCCTTGAGTAACTAAATTGTTCAGAAACAATATTAAGAGCAATCAAAGTCATATATGCGACTACATTTTCTACAAAGAAAACATGGTTAGAAACCAAGGATACTTCTTAGAAAACCATGCAATGACCTAAAAATGTTTCACAGACAATGAGTAAAAAATGTTTCACAGACAATGAGTATCTGAGGGTACTTTAGGTGACCTATATTTTTTATGTTGAGTTGGACTGGAATGTCCCTGCATTATGGTAAGGGTCACAACTCATAAGTGTAAGGTTTCTAAGCCAAAAGCTATAATGGTGGCCAATTTCTTAAGCATTATATTAAGTATTAACAATAAAGCCCACAAATTCTTAAGCAATGTATTAACAACAATGCCTCCAAAAGGTGCTGCTCTCTCCATCTCTTCTTCTTCTTCTCTTCTCTCCATCTCTCATATCCACGAATAATAATTAAATGATATATTCCCATGATGACAAAGGTTTTTGAAGAAGGAGAGCATTAATTTATGAGAGGAGGAGGACATGATTGACATCTCCAGCTTGTGTTGGAGTATTGATTGGTGCAAGCATATTGTAGTCATTATATGTTTCACTTGTATCTACCAAATTTATGGATTTTGTTTTTCCAATAGTTATGTAGGGGTTAGTTCTGTCTAGTTTTAATTTTATTTGCAAGTTAAATAGAGATTTGGCAGAGGGCCAGAAGGCCCACAAGTTCTAATTCTCTCCTTCGTGATCAGACAAAACTACTTGAGCATCACGACTGTTTCTATCCAGCTTCTCAAGTAACAAACACAATTTGCAGATGATCACAGTTAGAACTTCCTTCAAATTCACATTTGTCATAAGTAATACTTCCCTCTCCCATCCATGGATCATCATTACCAGCATACTATTTTTGACTCAAGGAGTATTTATACTCTTTGAGTAACCAACAGCCCCTGCAAAACATGAAATGAACGATGACTACAGAGTCCCAACAAATCCTCAAAAACCCAAAATACTGAATTTTGGTGTTTATTCATCATATATCCAAATATAGATCATCAGAAGTTACAGACTATCATCATGCTTCATTAAGCAACTATCACTCAAAGCCGTTTCAGATGAATTGTATGACTTGTACAAGGAGGCAATGCTCTTCATGGATGTCTGATGTTATGCAGTTTATATTTGGCATGCTTCTGTAGCATCAGTGGCGAAAGGTAGATGAATGTAACTCCCTCAGTAAAACAGCATATGAACTCTATAATCAAATCTATCTGTATCAAAGAACATCAGTTTGCCAGAAAAAAAAAGCGAGTACATTCATCACTGGAATGATCCATCTGTTCTCAATGCATGCACCATTCAGATGGCAACTCCAAAAAGAGAACCGCTTACCTGTCTCTGTGCATCTCGCTCTTGTTGCTTCTTCTTCTTCTTCTTAGATGCTTTAGTCGTATAGTGGTCACCAGCCGGAACTTCCTCATCACTTTCAGCAGAGAGCTCTGAGAAATATTAGATTGAATTTAATCATGACTCAGGACCACAAGCAGTAGAATCATTGGCTATATAGCAAAATACCCAACTCAAACAAGATGCAAAGACATATAAGTAAAACCATGTGTATTTTAGATTCCATAAATTACAGACTTACAGGTAATGCCGTAATATATCATTGGTAGGGAAAGATCATTTTCACTTTTGGTGGTCATTAATTGACTACTTTTTTTCTTTTTTAACATGTAACATCAATTAGCAATTAAACATAACATCGAAAGACTAAATGTACTTCACAATCACAACTCACGACCACAACCTCACAGCCACAACCTAAACATAATTTTCAAAAGTTCATAACATATAAAAGAAAATAAATACATTTGTGTTCAATGAGTCATGCCAACTCTCAACTCTCAAGTCTTAATCACATAAGTCATGTGATGACCTATCACGTGCATCTCCCCCTTTTGTTCCAGAGGTTGAGGAGCCATCATCATTAGTATCATCACCCTCCTCTACATACACTTTTCCTCGTCTCATGTGATTCAGCCTCCTCGATCTCCGGAACCGATGCGGTTGTCAACCCAACATTCACCCTTTCTGGGCTAGTGCTAGGCCTTACTTTTTCTCCAGCCCCTGTAAGTTGCTCGACAATCAACCAACTAACATCCTCACACTCGAACTCCCGCTCCTTTAGGTTCATCCAATACAATTGGGTCCACATACGTGCATTTCTAGAATCTCTCCCTAAGGCGTTTGCATTCTTGGTAAACATGCCTAGTAATTCCAACAAGATGTTTGTTTTGCTGGAAAATACCTCTTCAATATATTTTCTCGGATGGCATACAAAATAAATATTTGAATTTTTGGGTTGTCGAGTCTTTAATATTTCCATGCTGGGTCATTAATTGACTATTTTATCGACAGCAAGATACACACTCAAGATTACCCAAAAATATAACCACTATAACTGGGAACTAGGGTAAGACCTTTAGAAAACCATACATACGGGACCAAAAAGTCATAAGTCTTGTACCAGTTACTGCATAGGAGGCATGCCATGCACCTGTTTTTAGATGCAAAGGGTTCACCATGAATTCCCATCACATTAATTTTGAAGCCAATATCTTTTTATTTTTTAAACAGTTAATATTTGGACACAATATCAACAAATAAATACACCAAGTGTTGCCAACCAGAAAGACATCCCTGCCGCCAAATTCACGCCACTTAATAACTCCCATAACTCCTGGTATATGGATCAATTTATCTACATGATGCTGCTTTCCTCTCCACCATAGTCTATAGCAAGGTATCAAATTGCATTCAGTAGTGTGTTCCAATAGCTCAATGTTTGCATAGAAGAGGACCATCAATTGCCATTCCAATTTCAGCTACAAAGAATGTCTATTTATCATTAGCCCAGAAGTAGGCAGTAATTAAACCAGAATTTCAATCTCCTATAGAGCCTAACAAGTTTACCTTTTGATGCTCTATCCGAATTATGCATGACCCAACCTGTTCCTAATGCTGATAGATCAAATTAAACTAAGAAGCAAGAAATAGAAGGGATTCAAACGCCCAGCCAATTAGCAATAGCTCATTCATACAGTTGCCTTTGTCCTCTAACTTTATCATGAAAAACTGTAGCTAATTGTGAATCTTAGGCTAGTGTTTTATGTTTCAAAGTTGCTTCGGGCACAACAATAAATTAAACCATGTGCTTTGTCATGGAGATCAGCAGTTCAGGAGTTTGCCTCTAGTTTTGGCACAAGGTGGAAGCAATGGCAAGCAACTACCCTGGGCCCCAATGTTTGTGGGACACACAAATAAAGCTTGTTATAAATAGTTATGAAAAACTCGGTCAAAAATCTTGCCCAATGAAACAGCCAAGAACCTTTTGGCGTCCTTAAATCAAGGCAACCTCAGTGATAATAATCCTGGAATATTTCATCACATACTTCAAGATCGCAATTCGTGTGGCTCACAAGAAATATGAGAGATTTCCCACATGAAAGCACAAAAGGCAACAATTTCCATCGAACCAAATGGTAAATGTCCATAAACAATATACTATATAAGTTACATTTTACATGAACATATTTGTTTTATTCTGTCCCAAAAATATATAGAACATATTTATTGAACTACAATGTGTGTGTATGTGTAATAAATAGATGAGATAGTGCGGTCTAAAATGCTAATTATATGTGCACAGTATAGAAACTTCACAAAGAAACAACTATCCACAATAATATCTATCAAATTCAATTATAATAATGCACAAGAAAGAGATATATACATATTGAATGATGGTACTTGACCAAATTCTACATAAAAGGAAAATAAAGCAACAAGCCTAAAACCCAAGCAAAACTTCTTCATGTATGAGGCAATCAAAAGACCAATGTGTTGCATAACTCATTCATGTCCTAACAATGTTCAAACAGGAATCAAACCCAAAAAATAATTTTTTGTTGGCCTTACAAAACAACAGTTTCTTTTCAGACTTTGATTTATTGATAACTAAGTTCTGATCCTCTTAGAGCATGCAAAATCGTTCTAAGAATTTTTGCAAGGTTTAACCCAACCCCCCATCGTTTCCCACCCCTCAAATGAGCCAGAAAATGATCGTTTCACCATAATATCATGGGAGCCTTATTGGAAAACCCTTGATTTTGAGACAGAGGAAAGAGGACCAATTTCATCACCATTGAGACAATAAGTAAGAGGCAATAACCTAGACCACGCCTAAGCATGGCTAGGCAATCACCTGCCCTCCTCAACTAAACCAGAGGGGATAAGGAGAAGTGGCCTCATTTTGGCTCAGGCAATCACATTTGATAACTATCCTTCTCATTTCCTCTCTTTATAATGCTTATCCCCGTACCAGTATTCCATCCTCTATTTTGCCGAAAATCCATCCAAATTCTCCACCCCTTAATTCCCTTAGCCTCTCCACAGCAAATCATCCACATTAACAAATAATCTGTGTTCTAGAAACGTCAGTTCCTTCCAAACATGTTCAGCCACCTCACACTTTGGAATCCAATGCCTTCCATCAGAAGACACCCCCCCCACCTCAGGGACTATGATTTTCTGCTAAAGAAGTCACCAATAACTCGATATTTCTGCTAAAGAAGGCACCAATAACTTGATATTAAAATCCCCAAGGTTTTGACTAGAACCAGAAATGCCAGTTGAGTTCAGCAGTGAGAAGAAAGAAAGAACAGGTCAGAGTAGAGGAGAAATAAGAGAGTAAAAACAGAGCTTAAGGAGACACAAAGAGAGGGCCATGGCAGAGATCAAGAGAGACTAGAGAAGAACAAAGAAGAGAACCAATAGAGACCAAAACCATGAAGAGCAGGAAGGGGGGAGAGAGAGAGAGAGAGCTTTACTGGTTTGATGTTTAACTTACACTGCATATGGTAATTGCAAACCAGTGTTTTAAAATGCAGCCGCATCGCCGCATATGGAGCCGCATCAGGCACTATACGCTGGGCACCACATCAAAATTGGCCGCATATGCGGTTTGGAGAGATTCGCCCACATATGCACTGCATCTCTCCGCATCAGGCTGCATAATTTTCTGCAATTTGTTTTCCAAAACAGTACCCCTCGGGGATGGATAAAATGGTCTTTTTGACCTTCAAAATTTGGGGGTATTAAACCCCCCAAACAACAATTTTCGGCCACATTCGTGGCTTTTTTGTGATCGATTGGATCAAAAGAAAATTTTGGTCGGAATTGTTTTTTTGTTGAAGTTCTTCGATTTGGGTATTTGTTGATACGTGGTTATTTATTTGTACCTTTTGGGTGTTGATTTGAGGAAGTTTAGGCGAGCTTGTAACGACAAATCGAGGGTTTCAAAGGCCGTGAAGAAATCAACAAATTGTATGGACTCTTCTTGAGCTTGACTTTAAAACTCTTTAATTTTCATGGACTTTTAGTTTATAGTATTTGTAACTTTAAAGTTCGTGGTTGCAAATTTGTGCATATGGTTGTTGATTGTTGATTATTTTATAAAGCTAGTTTCAAGTTTCTAGTTTCTATTACGGGATAGTAGATACAGAATCTCCGACAACTAATACTTTTGGAGTTGATGAATAAACTAAATGCCTACTATCACATATATCACCTCCATATTTTTTTCTATGCATTAACCTATTTTTTTAGATTTTTTTATATTTATTGACTGCATCAGTGTGATGCACCCTCATCAAGACCGCATCAAGACGCATCAGGATCCCCACCGCTTTAAAACACTGTTTCAAACTGCAGTCGTGATAGTTGTCCTTAAACATAAAACCATTAAACTGTTAATTACATTACTCATGATAATTAAGTTTTTATTTTAAAATTTGATTTTTTTGCCTAGGGCTATTAAGCTTTTAGCAAAGTAGATCTACAATTAATTTATATATCTTCTAATTTGGCCTCAAATTTCTCTTCCACTATATCTTGTCATGTTACACAGAGTTCACAGTTTTTGCATAAAAGCCCATCCTTGAAATAAACAACTTTGACAACGGAAGTATCACAAAATTTCAATAAAACATACTTTAATGCGGCACATTCAGAAGGATAGGCAGTGTGTGTCACACCTTCCAACAACATCCATGTGTGTGACACCTTCCAACAACATCCATTATCCTGAAATAAGCTTTTCCAATTCTTAAATGCATTTTCAATAATTTATGTTGAAAACGTCTCCGTTTAACCCAAAAAAGGAAAAACACTTCGGCATCTAGATTTTGCACTTCTACAGGAAATAGTCAGAAAATAAACTCGTAACTTGCCTTGCCATATAACAGGTACAGAGATTGGGACCCTCATAGATGTCAACACAAGCACATATTTACCAAATAGTCTTGAAGGACAGGACAGCTTCTAAACATTGGCCTAAAACATGATACTTTTCTAGTTTCTTGGGAAAGAGAAGTCTCACAAGTAACAAACACTGGAAAAAGATTTTTCTTTCTTCCCGTGGGGTGCATGTTCTAGTTTCTGGTATTATTATATTAAGATTGCAGCCCATGGCCTCTCAAGAAGTCAACTAGCAAAAAGGCAAATGAGGCAACAAGCTTGAATTTTACTACAGAAACTCTGGTTCCAAACCAACATACAAACAATTATCACCCTTTAAGATGCAACAACTCTAATATACTCAAGGGAACTGGGTGAGACTAAAACCAAGAGATCATTAACACCATAATTTATAGTAATACATCCTTTTTGTATTATCAGTTTTTTTCACCAAGGTCATGAGAGGTTGAATGGGCCCCCCTTATTATAAATTTGTGAAAATGTACAAAGGAAATATATAAACTAAAAGGTAAAGTGCTCTTTACGAGCCGGACATATCACAGGATACAAGTTTCTTCACTACATCGCTCTAAAATACACAATAAAAGTTTTCGATGTAAGGGGGACAAATTCCATCTCTCGTAAGTGAGAGCTCAGCAGGTCTGAGTTGAACTCGCCCATGAGTCACTTGGAATTCAAATGACCCTGGTCCAGGTAACCCAAGTTTGCCCATGTCTACCATAATCTTGACCAATTCTGTCAGGCTCTCTTAAAATAAGTGATTTTTTGGTTCGTCATGAGCTTCCTGATTCAGGATTCGACAACACAACTCAGACTGTGCCTTGTTCGGTTTTTTATACAATTCCAGGTTTTAAAACATTGTTTTTTACCTTCTCATTCTTCTTCAGGTCAAGAGCAAGCAGAGGTCCCGAGGACGGTAAAAAAATCGCCATAGCACTTAAAACTACGTAGAAAGACATGACAGACACTCCAAAAGAAACATGAAAATAGAAGCATCATTCAGAAATTGGAAGGGTTTGAACACAAGAATAATAAGTAAAAGGACCCAAATTACTCAGGAAAGATGGAACATAAACACAGAAATAAAGATAATAAAACGATGTAAAAGTACAGAGGGTAGAAACAGTAGAAAAACTACTTGGATGCATATTAAGGATATCATGTAAAAACCTTCAGGAGCCACAACAGCCGTTGATGTACTGCCAACAGGCCTCCGCCGCATACGACGAGTTCCAGATAGGTGAACTACAGTTTCCACTTGAGGAACCTAGTCTCCAAAGTAATAGCAAGTTAATAAGCATATTTTCAGGAAAACCAATCATCCACATAAGAGTAAATCTTTTTTCATTCTATACTATCTAATAAAATTATTAGCTTCTCCAGATAAGCCATACTGATCAACAAAGAAAAAAACTGATCAACTGTGGAGCAGAGATTCCAAGATACATCCTTAGATAAAAACAGATTTGAGGAGCATATATAAAGGATTTCCAATAACTACACGAATGCTTTGCAATATGATGAAGTTTGGCATTTCATAACTGGATACAGACTGGTCAGAGCAACCTTGCAGTCCTTACCAATCAGAATATGATTAACATTTTGCATGTATAAGAAATCTTAGGCTTTTCCGCTATTTTTGAATAGATGTGGTTTCATTTCTTTCTAAAACAGGAAAGTTTGGTCAAAGATTTTAGAAAAGGAGAACAACATTATTATAATTACTTTATAACAATCTTTCAACATATGTAATTAAAAGTCAACCACTCTCACTAAACATACCAATCAAATATACCCTAGCTTAAATGGTTTTTAGAATCTCTACAGTAAGCCATGGGAACTTTGCTCAAAAAGTTAACTTTCTCAACAAAAAAAAAAAAGATATCTACGGCAAGCTCATCTAGCAAAACTAACAGACAATGAATCAGGAAAGAGAAAAGCTCCCCATTAATATATGCTCGTGACAAACAATTTCTTTGTGTTCGCGATGAAAGTTCGAATACACAACATCAGCCTCCTCATTGAGTCATGGCTTCTAATCCATTAGAAACATTCACTAGGAAAAAATTAACTCAACTTTTCTCTCTTTAAGGAAATTTTTAGGTTAACAAAATATCCTAAAAATAACGATGGCATAATCAGCTTCCAACTTTTACACCAAATTTTGTGCCAATAAAAACATTCAACAAGAAATTTGAAGTATGAAAAATAGGCTCCTCTTTGTCAAAAATAATGATTTCATTTCTTCTAATGCACCCCACCCCCAAAAAAATAAAAGACCTCTACCCCAACAGCCCAACCACAAATACTTTTCTAGAAGAGGCAAAAAAACTTCATAAAGGCTATCATAACTGCATCATCCTCTATTCACAAGCCACCCACAAGGAAGACTTAAAGTCCCAATATCACCTGGCCCAGAAAATGGTGCCCTTGAAAAGAATCAAGACAAACAGTCCACAGGGAAGACATTAATACGTAGATCCGGGCAGGGGTTGCATTGCTAGTCTATGATAATCTGAACATATACAGAAGATCCATCCAAGGGTCTACAACACAGGCAGCAAACCCCACTTTAATAGCTTCTGAAGAAACATAACTAGGGATCACGCTGCAGTTTAATCTAGCATGCTGCACTCCAAAACAAGCATCCGCTCAGACTGCTAGACGCAAAGCACCAGCACATGAGGAAAGACTTAGCCACCACTCCACCTTTGCAGGAAAAAGAAGGTTCAGCGATAAACTGAACATCAGCCCGAGGCAGGGCCATTGCTTCTAGATTTCTTCACCAATCTACCTCTATCCTGGTCTCCTTCTCTTTCCCTTCATTTCAGGGTAATTTTCTAGTTCTCATCCACCATTCCGTATTTCCAATTATTCACTGATTTTCTCCCATCTGATATCAACTTCCCTCATTCACATCACACCCTATCAATTCTAAAGATAGGAGACTCTCATTTTGATGACCAAGGAGATACAAATACTGCAATACACAGACAAAAAAAGTACACTTCATCCAAAACCCCAATACCTTCCTATTATTCAGATGCAACGTCCAACATCCACTTCATGAAGACCAACGTTTCATCAAAATCGAGAGAGAACAGAGCTATATATAGCTGTACTCCATATATTTATCACCCCATACTTTGCAGTAGCATCTCTAGTAACCATTTGAGTTATAATTCTTTTACAGTAGGCATAACCAACCAAGTTCGATTAGCCTTACGTGCATCCAAATTCAAACAACTCTTGAAGAGTGCAACAATCACTCATTTTCCATGACAGGGGCTCAATGATTGCCCCAATTGTCTATGAAGCAAGTGCCTACTTCACTCCAAAATATTCAAAATTTACATGTACTTATTTTCTTACTTTAGTTACAGGTCTTTCAACACCAGTTATGGTTTGAGAATCTGGTTATGGTGTAACAGAGATAACTTCATTCTCAAGTTAGCCTCTGTCAGAATACACAATTCTATGAATCATCTATTAATATATCAATATTCAAAACAAGACGATTATAAACCCTAAAACCCAGAATGAAAATCACAGTGGACCTGATTCGACCCCCTATTTTAGGGTTTCAGAGACGTTAATTCTTGTGGTTTGTTAATGTTACACTGAGCACATCTTGAGTTAAACAAGATTTCCCATCCTTAATTCGTTTTGTTTTGCTTTTTTGGTTCATAAGAAGCATTCAGTTTCCCCCATCAAGCTACTCATCATAGGGAATCCAAACCTATCTGAAACCTCATTTGATGTTGTCTCCATTAACCACTGCTAATAAAATATATTGACCTTGTTTATTGTTTGAAGAGCAACTAAAGAACAAGAAAGCAATGACCATCAAATTTCCCAGGATGGGCAGTGAGAGAAGCCAAGATATTGAAAGCAAAGAATCAAATTCATCAGAAATTAGTACGCATCTTCAGTTTAATTAATCGACCTGTGGCTAGAGAGAGAGAGAGATTGACCTGTGTTGGTTGTGGTTGTGGATCGCGAGCGTCCTGTCGACGTTTCCATAGAAGAAGAGGAAAGAGACAGAGAAGCAAAAGTGCGAAGAGAATGGGCACCAACACCTCCATCGCCACCCGCACTTTAGTTTTCAGACTACGGATTTCTGGCAATATATCCCGCGCTGATGGCCCAGCCGAGGGCCCCAACTTCTCCGTCCGTGTCATTTATTTATTCGATGTAAAAAATTTATATAAGGTTGCAACCTTAAAATGAAAAGATGCACCACAAAAATCCACCGGATAATGTGTTTTTAATATTGGAAAACCTTTAAATTGATCATCAATATATGAATATGAAAAAAATATATATATATTTTGAATCTTAAGAATGGTGCATCTTGCAATACATTGTCTAGACTGTCTATTTTCAAAATTTTGATATGTTATAAATTTACTTGATTTTAATTATTTTTAGAATTTAAAAATTTGTAATTAGATATGAAAATAGATTTTTAGATAATCTTAATAATATTTTATGCCAAAATTACATATTATGATAACACTGGAGGCATGCTTTAATTGGATTGTTTAAAATTGCAACCTTATGGAAAGCACACCTTTTATTTATTCGACTATTTCACGGTCTTGGTCTACAGACTCGTATATTTTTGCTTTATTTTTATTTTTATTTTTATTTTTATTCGGTAAAAGAACTCTTTGTTATTAGAAGGGGTAGAAAAGATATTTCTATAGAAAAATAGTAGCATTTATTAGTGGTTAAGAAGCAACGCTCTATATAAATGATGCATTATCTACCATAGGTAATACTCTTCTTTTTATCAATAATTTCAATTTTATTTTCGTTTAATTACCTAAAATACTTCTGTGCAAAAAAGTTATAACATGATCAAGTAAGGTTATTAAGTGTCCAAAAATACTGAGTACAATAAGTAAATACTCATACATCGGAGTAACCTAACCTAACCCTTATTTATTTATTTTTTGTTTTAGGTGGTCTAGGAGCCTTTCTTATACTGTCGAAGTAAGGTGCACTTTTGAATTTTTGCTCTGAGCCTTGGACTTGTAGTTCTGCTATAGTTCCAGTGTCGAAAACTTTATAATAACTTGAAATTCTATTTTTGTTCCTAATTATGAAATTTCAAATTCGAAATAATAAAGATAGTCTTGATCTTTTATAGAAGATCTATTTGATCTTTTATAAGAGAGAAATGCAAGATAATGAACATCGGTAGAGGAGGGTTCTAGTTGCCAAATATGAAGCGGATCGGTGTACATAATTGAGTTCAAGAGGGAGAGGAACTTCAAATCAATCACAGGTATGTGGAGTTTTGGTTGAAAGGAATGCAAGATGGATACCAAGGAAGGATGGTCGGATTTACTTTTGGCATCAAAAATGGCTCAGTGATAGCATTTTGAAATTCTCTTTCCTTAATTTGTTTGAGGAAGTTTCTTCGTCATTGGCTATGTTTCATGAATTTGCTTAAAGGCATTGTTCTGATATAAGTGTGGAACATTAAGGGGCGCTATAATAAGATCTCTGAAGTTGTTTTGTCCCAATTTACCTCTTTATTAGTGGAACTACATGGGTCCATCATATCTTTCGCAATATGGAGGATGAGGTTGTATAGGAACGTGAATGTGTGGGTAGTTTTATGTGAAATCAGCTTATAACTTGCTTTTTTATGACCACTTAAGATACGTTCAAACCTCTTTCTTATGGATTTTGTCCCAAGGAAGGAACTTAACAGTTGATAATCATATGCTTAGAGAATGGATCATGGCTAATATATATATATATATATATATATATATATATATATATATATATA